CAAGGAAATTTGCTTTTGATATTTTATTATTATTAGGAGAATATTCTAAGCTATAAACGGCGATTAAGAAGAAGATTTCCTGAGAAGTTCCTTGGAAGGTAAATGTGGATTTTAAAATATATTTTTTGAGAGTTTGAAGTTAAAATTTTAAGTTTTCCTGGACGATGTTTAAACATGAATTTTTGTAGTAGTTTTTCTGAGGGTTATAAACAAGATATCTCTGATTTATAAGGATTCTCCTGAGTAGAATTTCTGAATATTTGTAATTATTTTCTGAGGTATAAACGTCAAATTTTAAGGATTTTTTTTAAAGATTTCTCTGAACAATGAAATTGGTATTTTTGAGCTAAATTTTGTGAGGTATATCCTGGGCTATGAACGTGGATTTTAAGTAAATTAACTTGAGAGTTTTTTTGGAGTTTCCTGATTTTTAAATATTAATTTGCATCAATATTTCCTAAGGACTCCCTTGAGTTATAAAAGCGATGTTCTGACGATTTTTTTAAATGTAGGCATCATAATTTTATTCGAATTGTTTAAAAGATATTTTCAAATGGATTCTCCTGTGCAATAAACTAGAAACATTTCCCTGAGCTGTTTTTGAGGATTTTCTGAGCTATAAACGAAGATTTTATGGAGTTTTTCATAGAATTTTTTGGAGTTATTTCTGACAGTTTTTAAGGATATTTTAAAGGATTTCTCTGGGCTTTTTAGAGTTTCTGAAGGTATACATGCGCTGTAAAATGAGATTCTGATGTAGATTTGCTGAAAAAGAGAGCTGAAAGTATCTAACCTAGAAACGTTAATTTTCTCCAAAACAAAAAATACTGATTGACTTTTCTTTTCTCTTCGAAGGAATTCCTTAATCTAAACTTATAACTATTTATTTTTAATAGACATTTTATATAAATAACCTTCACATACAGCTAAAAATCCTTAAACTTTCTACAAGACCTACGCAACACTTCCTTATAACAAACTTGTTCACACATTTCCATCACCACCTTCCCTCCACCTCTAATTCTCCCGCTTCTAATTCCAAACAATCGTGGGAATATTTTGCAAACAAAATATCAAACATAAGCAAAAAAGTAACATTAACTCCCCCTATCCTCTAGCATCGGCTCCTAAACAAAAAACAAACACTTGCTTCTAGCCCTCATAGCGAGAATACTTAAGACTTATTTCCTTGCAGTTCTTGTATTTTGTTGTTGCTGTTGTTGTTGTCATTTAAGCTGAAAATAATTACAACTACTTGTAGTCCTTATTTTTTTTTGCTCTTCCACTCAGATGTTGTGATGTTTCTTCTGTTGGTTGGGGTTTTTCGTATTTTATTTTCATTTCTCGTTCGCCGAGTTTTTGCATTTTTGTCTTTCGGTGTTTTCTTTTTTGCTGCTGCTGCATTGCAAGCAATACTTGTAGAAATTTCCGTTTCCTTTAACATATGAGTCAACACAAACACACGAACCAAGGGAACACACACACATACTCATCATTACAAACTAACATTGCGAGATGAAGGCAATGCATTGCAACAACTTTTACATGTTTTCTTTTTTATTTTGTTTGATGTGTGTAAAGGTGTTTGCTGGTTACATTCGAGGGAAAATGTTGATCAAAGGATGTATTTGAAGTAGAAAATGCATTAAATTGGATGGGATATGGGGAAATAATTGAGTAAGTAACGTAGTTTTTCGAAGGATTTGTTTGAGCTATAAATGTGGATTCTGACGAGCTTGAAGGAATTTTTGAGGATTTCTCTAAGCTATGAAAGCAAAGTTTTTTGAGCTATAAACGTTGATTTTAAAAGCGATTTCTTTAAGATTTCCCAAAGATATTATTGATATCTAAGCAGATTTCTTTTTCTGTATTATAAAAACCTAAGAACTTCTGCAGAGCTACTTTTCAAAGAGATTCCCTTTCCAGAGCTGTATACATGGATTTCAAAAGGATATTTTGGAATTTACCAGAGCTACCAACATTGTCTTTTAAGATATTTTTTGAGAATTATCTGAAGGCTTAACTGAGCTGTAAACGTGGATTTTAAAACTATTTTTGGGCATTACTCTGAGTTATAAATTAATTTTGTAGAGGGATATTTTTTCTGATGAGTGGGTGCATTTTTATAGAGACCTTGTAGGATTATTTGTTGAAAGAATTTTTTTCTGGGGAACCTCCTTAGCAAAAACATTGATTTTTAAAAAGATTACCTAAGTATTCCGAAGAAGACCTATAAATGGAGTTTTTAGGGGAATATCCTGGATTTCAATGAGAACTATAAATTTATGTAGGTTAGCTGAGTATCTTCCAGATATAAAAACTTAAATCTTGCAGGAGATTTCCTGACATATAAACTACGATTTTTAAGCAGAGTTACAGAAGCTAAAACATACAATTTTATTAAAGAATGGTGTTACCATCGAAGGTTTTTTATGGTTTTTTTCTGAGGGTTTCTCTGAACTAATCACGTTGATTTTAGACAGGACCTCTTTGAGCAAAAAAGTGGAATGTAAAGAAATTTTCAGAATATTCTTATTAGAGCTAAAAACGATTTTAAAAGGTTTGTTGGGAAACTTTAATGTAGAACTTTAATGTAGATTTTAAAGGAGGATTCTTGAATTATAGACTAGAATTTTTAGCTGCCCTGGAGCTATAATCGAGAATGCTTAATAAGATTTCTCTACGCTATAAAAGAGTCTTTATAGAGCATTATTAGCATGAAAGGGACACTCCTGCTGCTAAAATCATAGATTTTAATGGAGGTTTCTGAGTTATAAAGTACAATTTTTAAAAAGTTTCGCCGGAGCTAAAATCGAGGTTTTTAAAGCGCGTTCCTGAACTATGGACTAGAATTTCAACAAACATTTTTCTGATCTCTAATTGAGAATTTTGGAGATATTTTGTGGGAATTTCTTTTATGGCAATTAAGCTCATGAAAATCTGATAAGAAATCCAAAGTGTAAGAAGTTTTCCTTAAGCTCCAATCGGGGATTTTTAAGAGGATTTCTCTGAGGATTCTCCCGGCTATTAACGTGGATTTTTATGGAGATGAAGTAATTAATTGTAAATGAAAATTAATCAAGTCGAATTAAATTTTGATAATTTCCTGGTTCTAGCTAATAATGACCTGAGACGATGGCATAGGACATCGCTAGATTCCAATTTTCCAATTTTTATTTGACTGGCTAAATATTCTCAGAATTTTGTCCAAGAACTATTATTCCTCTATTTTTTCGAGGAGTTAGCCTGTTTTTATGTCCTGCGTAGGTCAAGGAAAATGTATGTCTATTTATATGGTGATAGTGCACTTACATATGATGCAGAATTTTCTCTCCTATATATTCTACCTAAACTGCCTGTGTAAGCTTATTCAATAGATATGTATTACGCAGGATACATTTAATAATTTGTCTAACAATTTTCAACAGATTTAATTGAAAATTGATAAAATTACACATTGAACAGTCGAATTTCTTCGAGTGTAATTTCAGGGAAAACATTTTCATATAGCACCCAACTTGGCCGACTTGCTTCAAAGTACACCTTTCCTCCATACGCCAGCTTCTCTTTGAATGCTGATATATTTTTGTTTTAATAAACTTTTGCCTCATACCTTTAGAGTTTTCATTATGTGTGCAGCAATGATTTGTGCTTAGAAAAGTGCATACAGCTTTTTAATATGTAAGAATTATGTAAGATATTCTGAGGAGGGGGAGGGAGGGAGAAGGGTTTAAAATTGGCAAGAGTTAAGAAGTCTTTGATTGTGCATATTACAGAAGTGCAAATAAAGTAGAGAAATGTAGAAATATTATGGCAGGAAAAAATGTTATGCAATTGTCCCTTAAGAGGCAAAATAGTTTTGAGACACAGCGAACCAATATGAAAATCCAATGCAGAATTTAAAGGATCTTACGGGGTTTTCGGTTATTACAACTTTTACGTGAAAAACTGGATAAACAGACTACAGAGTGAGATAAAAAAATTGCAACCAACTTTCAGACTGCTGTCATTTCAAACACCAAAAAATGGTTACAAAATGAGGTTCCTCGCTTTATTTCCAGAGCATAATGGCCACCAAAATCTCCGGATACCAATCCGTTGGACTATTGTGTTTGGAGTATTTTGGAATGCAATACCAAAGTGTCGATCACCTCAAGCGAGCGACTCGCCTGGAAAGGGCCGAAATACCGCAGAGTAACATTCGGGCAGCGTGTGACGGTTTCATTAGCCGTTTGAAGGCCATAATTCGTGCCAAAGGTGACTAATTCGAACAAATCTAAACTTATTCCTAAATTTGATGCTATTTACGACATTTTTTGCTTTCATTCAGTAAAATTAAAAAGATCTAAAAATTATGGCGTTTAACTTTGTTGCAGTTTTTTTTTCTTATCCTGTATGTGTGTGTCTATTTCAGCACACACATGGCCCCAAAAGGGTTAATCTACAATGGCTACTTAATCATGAAACTCTTATGTTCATAATTTCAACATAAGACAAATAACAAACAATGCAAAGTTCTACTTTTTCCTCCTACTACAGAAGAATATTTTGAAAAAAAATCAACAATGGCAAAATGAAAAGCAACTCAAACTAAAAGAAAACTTGCCTCAGAACAAAGGAATATGTGACGTGTGAAAGAAAAAACAGAAACATGTCTGAAAAAATCTTAATTAAAATAGAGAAGAAGAAAAAAAAAAAAAACAACAGCAGCAATTGCAGACAGATCTAATGGACTAGGGGTCACTTAAAGGTCATCTTTGTTTTTTTATTAAATGTGAAAAAAAACCTAGAGCGTTTTATTGGTATTTTAATCTTTAGTTGAAAAAATCTTAATTAAAAAAGAATAGTGCAGATAGGTCTAACAGCGTAGGGGTCACCTAAAGGTCATCTTTATATTTTTTTATAATATATGTAAAAGCCTAGAGCGTAATTTTATATTGGTATTTTCATCTTTAGTTTCCCATTAACATATGTATGTATAATTTAATTTGGGTACTTACCAAAATTTAAGCGGCTTTCTCATTGGATAACTTCTCGTTATGGTGTAACCTGCAATGAGATTTTTGCAAAAAGAGAGAGGGGTACCAAAACATGGTGATTAGTAAAGTTTGTCTAGAGGTATGCAGTTTTTATTTGGTTTATTTTACATTAACATAAAAATAAATAAATTGAAATTCAAGGAAGAAAATAATTAAATAAATTAAATGTGTGTAGTGTTTGTTTGTATGTGTAATATTTGTTCTGTTTAAGTTAAAATGCGTATACGTCACATTGTCTAAACTATAAGAGAGAAAACACACAAATCTACACCTAAAAGTATGCAGTAGTATTTATGTAGAAAATTGTTTGTTAAAATGAAATTCAATGAAAGCTGCTAGCTATTGAATTGTGAAGGAAAGCAAAATTCCTAAGAGAAATTTTTAAATAAACCTTGAATATTAAATTGAAATCTAAACATGGAAGAATGTTGAATTTGTTGATCCACAAATAAAAAATAAATCATTCTAGGCAGTTACTATGATGGACAATTTAGTGACTTGAAAAAAAGTGTTAAATTTTCAGTTAAAAAGTCTAAATACATAAAATTGGAATGTATTTTTCTCAAAAATATTAAATTCAAACGTGAATTTTAAATGAAATTTCTTGAATATTTAATAGGATATATTGATTCTATATTTAAGTATTGTTTTTAATTTTCCATTGTTATAAAATCTGACCTTTAAATGTCGATTCTTGAGAAGATTCTCCTTAGATTTTATAGAGCTATGCATTTGGATTTCAAGTAGGTGTATTTTTATACGAAGTTGGTAGAATTTTTTCTGAAATATCAATATGGATTTTAATAAGTTTTTTTTCTGGGAAACCCCTACGCAAAAACTTTGATTCTTAAAAAAGGGTTTCAGAACTGTTCCAAAGATACCTAAAAATCGAGTTTTAAAAGGAGAATGTCCTGGATTCCCTTGAGAACTATATATGAAGACTTGCCCAGAATCGCATATACATATACAAGTAGGGCTTACAGGAGGTTTCCTGAGATAATAATGTGAAGAAAAATTACCGGAGCTAAATTAGATAATTTGCTAGAAGAATTTCCAAGGCTACAATCGAATATTTTTAAGGTCTTTTTCCGAGGATTTCTCTGAACTAATTACGTTGCTTTTAGACAATAAAATTCGCAGCTAATTCGAAAGAAAAGGTATATATATATATAAAAGGTATATGGTATATATTAAGTATACAAATCGCATCAATTTTTGTATTTTTATAAAAATTTTTCAGAGGCTTGCAATAAAATTTGATCTAGAATACTTCCTAGTCTGAGACTTTACTCAAAAAAATAAGTCTTATGTGAGATTTTGTCATAGAATGACAACTTTTCAATTTAGCAATTGATATAAACACATAATATTCACGTTTAACATTACATTTCAAAGGTATTTTTCTAAAAATTTATTACACGTAGATATATGGTATATTCTGAGATTTATAGGAAAATGTTGTGTAGAATTATTTTTCTTTTGGCAGCTTCTGCTTAAAACGAAATTTTATGTTACTTTCATCCATCAACATATAAATAGACTGGGGACAATTGGATCAAAAATGTAAATTATTTTATCAGTAAATTATTTTTTCCATTTTTTTGTGATTACTTTGATATAAATATTTTCTAGATATATAGTGGCAGTAGAGATTTCGTTGCTTTGGTGACTTATAGTGAAATTTTATGAGGAATAATTTTGCCTTTGATGCCATTCTTCTAAACTGATGCCTTGTGGGGCAGTTTTGCATAAATTTACATAAGGTACCCTGTGATGTGATTTTAATAATAATTCATTTTTTTCTACCTAAACGCAAACGGGTTTGGAATTTTTTATTCTGAGTTCTATTGTAGAAATTTATGGCGAATAATTTTGTGAATGTTTTATATTGCTTCGATTCCGTTTAAAAGAAATTGTAACATTATTTTGAAATAAGGACCAAAACGACCCATTTGGTGACTTGCATGGAAAAAACTCAAAAAATGGAAGTGTGAAAATTGTCTGGGAACGGAAAATGGCCCATATTGAATAGAGGGACATTCCAAAAGAGGACAGCGTCTGCACTGTTAGTCAGCACCGTTTCTAACTGACCAAAGGGCTTTAATTTTTAAACGAATTGAGATATTCAATTTGTTGTTGATATTTACGACTTTACTTCAACTTTACTTCAACTGAAATAATAATATTTATTCAAAAATAATGAACTAATCATAAGCCGTAATTCTAAGAATTAAACCTAAAAAATTACGTCTTTATTTTTTTTTTTTTAATTGTGAAATTTTCATAAGAAAAAACAAGTTCCTTAAAAATTATATTTCGAAAGAAATTATGATAAGAAAACACTCCTACGACTATTTCTTTTTTAAATTGGGACTTTATCCTAAAAATATATATTAAATAAATTAATGAATTTCCTGTGTGACTTCTAATGTATTTTTGGGTTATATTTTCTATAGATTTCTGTAAAATATTAAGGCGATATAGCCTAGCCCGTAAATATTTCCCTTTGCCTTAGCTCTGGAATTGTAATTATTTAGGAAAACTGCAATAATATTTAAAAATTGGAGCGGGCTGTATTTTTTTGGTGAGAATAATTCGATCAGACAAATTATTTCCCTTTCTAGTTCCATGGACTCCGGGCGTTTGTATGAAAACATTGCGTATGAGTGATGTGATATGTATGAAATCACTCATACGTTTAGGAACTGTAGATGCACTGGAGAATGACTTGATTGATACAAAATCCTCGACATATTTAATATATTTCTGATCGAATTTAATATACCTCTAAATCGAATTTATCTCTGTTTAAGAAATAAGTCTGAAATTATACAGATATGCCCCTAGCTTATTTAAATTGAAAAGCTGACATAATGTTCCATTGTATATTATAGTCCCTTCATAATAATATATCTTGGTTTGAAGTACTTTGAAAATTTAAGACACAATTTTTAATAAAATTAGCTGTATTCTGGCATAAAAAGTATTAACATGCTCAGTGAGTCGTGTGTGTCTTTAAGTGTATTTTTGTGTATAAAATAAAAATTTTTTTAACAAAAATGAACTGAAGAAAAATACCAAATTAAAATCATTAATAATATATTTTGTTTAGTTATCACAGAAACAGTTTGTTTTACAAAAGAGTTTGTAAAGTTTCATCAAATGAAGTTCTTTTAAAAGTTAATGTTCTTTAGCAAATGAATTAAGTTCTGTTTTCTTGAATATATTTTTAATTTTCTTATATTTTGTGTGTCATATATTTTTTCTGTATTTTTTTGGATTTTTATATTTTCACCAATACCATTTTTCGATATTTTACCCTTAAAATTTGTATGGTTCATTTTGTTTGGTTAGCACTCGTGTTATGGATCGTTATTGCAACAAACAACGATTAACGTCTCTGTGTTTCGTGTCTCTGGTGTCTTTGGCTACTACACGCTGAACAATATTGCCGGTTGTAGTAGTAGTTGTCCTGCCGACGAATGCGTGCTGCCATGGCGCTGGGTTAGATGAAAAGCGAGCGATGTTCGTTGGCCACTATTGCTGTGGCCCAGTGCACTACACCATTGAGAGCAGGATGCGGAACAACCAACTTATAGTTAATGTTATGAAGCAGCAGCAACATTACTGCTGCACAGCTCACAGACATTCACATTCAATATTCCTGCACCCACTCTCTTTCGATGTGCTCTCATTTAGTTGCGCTCTCAACCAAAACCACTACTACTATCCATCGTCAACAACAACATCATCATTGCCAGCAGAAAACAGAATGTATGGCAAAAAACGAACAACAAAGCAAAGGATACGGAAAATCCACATACAACAATAAAAAATTGCTCATAATATTATTTTCCGTTTTTTTTTTTGCATTCTCTGTTTGTTTTTTCGCTTTTTTCTTCTTTTCTCAATTGGCAATGGCAATGCGTAAGTGTGGTGGCGAGGCTGGGATGGCAGTTTTACTATGATGACTAGTAGTCGTCGTCGTCGTCATCACCATCATCATGAGCCACGTTTGGCGGCTTCTGAGAGTGGGTTGTTGTTGTTGGTGGTGTTGTGCTGTTCAACGTGAAGGTGTTATTGTATTTCATAGTCACACATAACGTAAGCAAGCACATGTGGTGTATGAAGGTGCATCCTGCTGCCACGGCTACTGGTGTTGTTGTTGGTGTTACTGCTGCTGCTTTTGATGACGACAACAATATTTTATTTTTCTTGTTTTTGTTATGGGCGATGATGATACTGATGCGTTTGCATTTGCTGTTGTTGGCGCTGTTAATAAGCCGGCTATAGTAGACACCATTCTTGTATTCGGCTGGGCCCCCATGTACATTCATATACGAGTGTATGTGTGCGCGGGCCCGTCTGTATGTGCAATATTATTTATGTTTACGAATTTTTATTTTGTTACATCATTCGTAGTGTAGTTGCGTTTTTTTGTTTTTCTTTTTGTCTCCTCTTTTTTTGTTGCATTTTCACATGTTTTGTCGTTTTTTTTCATTCGTTTATTTTTTCACTTTTGTTTTGATTACGTTTTCTTATGATACATGGTTATGTGTTTTCATTTTTTTGCACCATATATATTTTTAACAATAATTTATTTTATTTTAATTTTTTCATTCACATGCATTTGAGTTTAGAATATTCGTTTGGAATTTAATTTTTTTTTAATAATTTTAATTGAATTAAAAAAAAAACAAAAAATAATAAGTCACTTTTCTTACTTGATCTGTAAATACATAAGGCAAATTCTCCCTATTAATGAAGTCTGCTGGTTTAATGCAAATGTAAAGCATACTTTTAGGCTCGTAGGCGACTTGAGTTAAGTTGATATTTCTATTAACCCTTTATGAAGCTTAAAGTAATATACCCAATCTAAATAAAAATATATTGATATATTTAGCAGCTAATGGAAATATTTATAATTTTGAAAATATATAAAATTCAATAAAAATACATATTTCTACAAAAAAAAAATTGAGTATATTGTTAATGAAATATAATGAAAAT